TAGCAAAAATAAAAATAGCATTCTTTAAACAAGTAGTTACATCCAATCATTTCCACAAGGGTTAGGCCTAGCTTATCCTTTGTAGTCACGAAATTAAAAACCTCTCAGAGGGAGGAGGCAACAGCCTGCGTAAACATATATATATAACACAATTGTCTTTTGTAATTTCAAGATCCTAAATGCTTGGATTTTTTTTTTTTTTGAAAGATGTAGGTTCCTTTTAGCTTGAAATTTTAAACTGCCAACTTAAAAAACAATATGGTATATGTATTTATGGAATATAAGCACTATTAATAGCTGAATTTCTTTAAATTCATTGATTTCATTGCATTCTTTGATAGCTTGAGTTCAAATATTATTATTAGAAGATAAACTGTTAAATGCTTTTAAGTATTTTGATCAAAACAGCCAAAGAAGAAGTTTAGCGATTAATTAAATATTTTCTGATGTTGAGAAAGTGAATAATTAGAACAAATCTATGATTAAATCCATTTTATATTTGTTTGAGGATTCTTTTTCGAATTTTCTTTAATTACTTTATTGTTATTGATAGGAATAATTAATAAATTTAATAAATTTCACAAAAATTAAACAAAAGATTACATTCTATTTACCTTTATTATCAAAAACATTATCATCATTATTATCAGATTGATTTTTATTTGAAATTTGAGTGTCATTAATGTTTTTTTCATTTTTTAATCTTTGAATGATTTCTTCAAGATCGTTAATCCTGAATTCCATTCTTTCTTTGTATGAGTTATAATTGGATTTTAACATACTTAAGTTTAATGCACAAGATCCAAATAAACACCAGGCGAAATATTTGTAAATAAATTTTGAATATTTTTTAAATTTTGATCCACTATCATTATTAAAATTATCATCATTCAAAGAAATTTGATGGGTTGTGGAATAAAAATGTCTTAAAAATCGATCATTTTTTGTTCTAAAATTTTTAAATAAATAATATCTATATAACGACAAGGATGATGACGACAACATTTCACTTGAATATTTATTAATGGGCATCCTCAGAAAAATTTGATTTGATTAAGATTTGTATTTGATTTGACTAATTTGTCCTCATAAATTTGTCGATCAAAATTTATTTAATCTTAGGATTTGATTTAGTAAGATTTA